CGTAGATATCTCAATCGGTACTGATTGCTTATTTCCCATTGGTTGATGTTGTTCTGGGTATGGTATACCATAAGTGTCGTCTTCTTCATATCATCATCTTCTTCTACAAACTCCTTGTTCTTCTTCGTCATTCTCGCTTTCAACTAACTCATCTATTTGGCTTGCTGACATCATATTGTCGTTAACAGCATAATGAGAACCATACACCATATGCATCAAGTCCATGCACGGTAGAGGGTTTTTTTTTTTATCTTGCCGCTCGTTCTATGTCCTACAAAATATTCATATGAGAGATTATTAAAAAAATGTTAATTTATTTTTAAATAAAAAAATTGAAATAAATATAAAAATAAATAATCATACCTTTTTCCGGTCTTCCCACCAACTTGCATCCATGATTGTCTTTCCTGTTTTTCGCTCAATGTTTGTTCCAGTACGACAAACAAGTCTTTGATACACTGCATACAATGATCTGAAGTCATCATGTTTATTCTTCCATTTCTCCCAATCATTTTTATATTCTGACTTTTCGCGGAACTTCCTTATTATATTTTTTTACCCTCTTTATATGGTAATGTTGCGACAAATTTATCTTTTGGAGTTCTTCATCTAATAATTCAATGAATAAGGAGTTCAATCTTGGCCACCATCTAGAGAAAGTCTACAATTATAAAATTAAATAAATTATTAAAAATTTATTTGTTAAAAATACATGAAAAAACCATGCAAAAAATATTACCGTATTGTTTTGGCTAGACGGTTTAGAACCAGCATCTCCCGCATCGCTCATTTTCAAATCTGATAAATAAACAAATTAAGAAAAGAAAATTATTTTGAGAAGTTTGTCCTACAATATAAAGAAGATAACCCAAATATCAATGTTGATGTTAATTGTAAATAACTTTGAGTAAATTTATCTAAAACATAACAATTTTTTCCATACAGCTTAAACCTTCATACATAAATAAATAGCAGTACTAGTTAAATATTTGAAACAACTATAATATAGAGTAACCCATGATTTAAAATATTTAATCTTTAAAAATTTCTAGTAATGTATTTATTTATTTATTTTATCTTTTCATGGTAAGATATATGTTAATACATATTAATAATAATTTATGTTTTAGATGTAACCTATTTAAAAAAAAAACAAAATACATGATGTAACACAAAATAATATCTCTTAATAATAATTTACGCATATATAACATAGATATACCAGTAAATTTATAATCTAAAATTCTATGTTATATCAGTCTGCACAAATTTTAAAAATTTGCCGCATTTTATATGAAAATATAATTCACAGAGGAAAAATAAATTTGAATAAGGTTTAGTTTTAAAAATATTTAAAATATCTGTACTTATCTCTACAAATTTCCTCTAAATAAATTTAGTTTGACTGTTAAAATTATAAAATTTTCTTTATACATTAATATAAATTTCATATTTAGTTTTAGATAGATATAGCAGAAAAATGAGTGTATGTATATAAATTTAGTTTTAGATAAATATAGCTGAAAAATGAGTCTATCTATATAAGTGTATATATTATTATTTAAAATGATCTTAAGAGTATATGTATTTATATATGAGTTATTGAAAACGAAGTGAACTTACTTGAGTTTTGTTTTGTATGATGCCTTTGAAGAGTTGATGTATTCCTCTTTTTAAAATAATTTGTTTTCTGTGAAAATGGTATGGTTTCAAAAACCATGAATATCATCTTTTATAGTGAGTTCAAAGACATCCGTGAAGTTATTTTGTTGTTTTTTGGTTTTGGTTTTTTTTTCTAATTATATATACACATTAGTGAGACTTGTGAATTTTTTTTGTTGTCTTATGTTTTTGTTTTTTTTTCAATTATTCACATTGGTTTCTTCATTTCTTATCTACTGAAATGCAGAAAAAAAAAAGCTGTGATTTTTGTATTTTTGTGGCATCTCTTATGATGTGTTGAGCTAGTGGACATCATTTTAAATTCATTATATATTTTTAATGTTTCCACAAAATTCATCAGCATTTTATTCCTCAGAACTCCTCAACTAATTATACAACTCTAACTGGTGACAAACATTAAAAATTCAGCTGCATTCAGCCAAATTCCACAATTCCTCCAACACCAGTTATAGGGCCTATAAAAGAATATCATATCTCATAAACTTATCACATTTCACCAAAGAAAACTAATTATAAAATTTACCACCACAATACAAATTTTCTTTGGAAGTTTGTTATTTTAATGAGATATGAAGGTAATATACATAAAGAATAAAGAATAACTTATTTAGGTAGATGGTGTATAATAGGTGAAAACTATTTCCATTACTGGTGAAGCCGGATGAAATGAAAAAATACTCCTTGGACTTTGGACGGGAATGTTATCTGCAACTAAGATATATACATACAATGTTATTATCATTGTTGATACTTTTTAAGTATTGATTAATTTTTATATAAGAGACTATTAATTCATATAATTTACATATATAAAGAGAGTACTCACTTTAGCTATTATGAGTTAATACTCTTTTTGTATATGTAAATTATGTTTCTGTTCTTACCCAAAATGTATGTGTGTGATTCAAGGAAAGAAAGAAAAGAAATATCAAAGAGAGTTTAGAGAGACAAAGAGATAAACAAAACATAATAGTTTTGGAGAGAGGGGAAGAGAGCTCAAGTCTTGTTCATTCACTTATGGTTTTATCATATCTCTTACAAGAACTAAAGAGACCTATTTATAGTGTTAAAAAACTTAGAGCACGTAAAACGGTGAGTCTCTATAGGTTTCTTTAATTTATTTTTTTAATGATTTTCGAAAAAAAAAAAAAAAAAAATCGAAACCCAATCGCGTGCTGACTCGTGGAGAAACGTGTTAGAGAAACGGTTTTCAAATCTCTTCGGGAAGAGACTTCTCTCTCTCAGTCTCGCCACATGGATAATTGTTTTATTTTTTTCTTTTCTTTTTTTGTTAAAGAAACTCTAACAATCTGTCCGTTGCATATGGTCTTAGGAAACTGACCTATCAGTGAGGATGTGGTGTTCATGTGTCAGCATGCATTTGTCTATCTACTACGGTCTCAGTATGGTTGAGTTTTTAGTCGGCCATAATTATGTTTACATGGTTAATGAAGTGTTAGCCAGTTACGGGGTTGCTTTAATATTTTGTTGGCCTATTTGTTCTCTTCAGCAACAGGTATATCCCAATGTGAAGGATTGTGCTGGTGTTCTCTACTTAAACGAAATACCAGATCCTATTTTACAAATAGGCAACTCGGATACCTCATTGTGAAAGGTACAAAAGTGTACAAGCTCATAGACTTCTAACAAATTTTCAACGAAATCAAAAAGACTGATACAACATGCCCCAACTACTTAATTGGAGCCGGTTCGAGCACTGACTACTTATGTGTTGTACGATTAACAATAAGGATGGACACCATGATTGTATTAAAAAAAACAAAACCAGAAATTAACTACATATATAAAGCAATCATTCACTTTATTAAACTTTACGGCTACAATCATGTTTAAAAGGCCAATTTATGTATTAAACTTTACGGCTACAACCATGTTTAAAAGGCCAGTTTATGTATTGTACGTTAACATTAACGATAGTAACCATGGTTGTATCAAAAAAAACAAAATGAGAAGTTAACTACATAAAGCAATCTTCCACTGCAAACAAAACATACAACTATAAATTCAATTGAGACACCCCAAATATTCATACACACCATTAGAGTGGGTGACGCAGGTCTTATATAGCAGGGCAGGTGCGGATCTAAATATTTGTTGAAGCAAGTATGCGGGTACCTGCATAAATAAAAAACTGTCTTTTTAATTTTATTTGTTGTTATTTTTAATTTTTTAGCTTGTTAATGTTTGTTGTTTTTAACTAAAATTGTACTCCCTCTGTCCCATATTATAAGTAGTTTTGGCATAATGTATCTGGATGGACACGTTTCCATCTAGATACATTCAAAAAATTACAGATACATTATGCCAAAACAGCTTATAATATGGGACAGATGGAGTATGATGTTGTAAAATATATAGAAAAAATCTTTCTTTTGTTTTTGTTATAAACTAATTATTTAAAGTGAAAATATAAAATATAAAAATGGTGGAGACCACTTGGGTCAGAGAAGAGAGATGACAATGTGAGAGAGAGATGAGTGAGAAATGATTTCATGTGTGTATTGATCACTTAGTACAATCCCTATTTATAGGGTGGACAATGTCGGTTCTTTAAAAGATAAGGGTGAGGTGATGATGACACGTAGAGGGAGTAGAGAATTACATCTTTATCTACAACACTCCCCCTTAATTATCTATCACCGTGAAGTTACATACAGCCTCGTTATACCTCCCCCTGAAAAATAAAGATAGTCTTCTCTTCACAAATCTTGTAGACGACGCATTCCAATACTCTGAACATGCTTCTTGAAAACTGTAGAGGTGATCGCGGGATCAGGTCTTCCCCTTTCCTATCCCTAATTCTGCAAGTGCACAGGTCAGAAGTAGTAAACGGGTATCGAACACGAGGACCAGATTGCACACTACAAGTTATGAGTTTTTGAGAACAAGTTAGGGCAAAAGTATAAGTTGGTTGAGTGCAGAGAAAGTAAAGCATGCAAGTAATAAAAAGTAAGAATTCAATAGGAGAGAAAGGCTAATCAATAGGATAGTCTTGAGATAAGCAATTCAAGAAGTATGAAATCAATCAATTAGGGTTACCGCACTTAGGTGCTAATCTAGAACTTGAAACACTATGGTATGATCATTCCACTGTCGAGGCTCCGACCCCTTTGTTAATCATAAGAACAGAGATTCGAATCCTCTCTAGAAAGAGTAACAAGCAAGAACAAAGTAAAAGCAAGCAAAACTTTATTAAGATGTAAAATAGATTGTGGTCTCTCTCCTTCTTGAGTTACAAGGCTAAAAAGAAGTATTTATAATGCTCTAAGTATGAAAGGCGGCTAAACCTAATCTAGCTAGGTCGGCGCCGGCTTTGGGCTTGAATTGTGCGGATTGGGCTTCAAAAACGGCTTCGGGTCGACCGCGGCGTTCGGACGGTCGGTCGGGACGATCGGCCGGACAGTCGGGTCTTGGGCCGAGTCGGAACGGTCGGGCCGGATGGTTTCATGGTCGGCCGGCTGGTCGGCGGATAGATTTGGCCGATGGTTTCTCGGCCGGACGTGGGACGTTCTTCCCGGCTCGGACGGATGCATCGGCCGTGGTACGCGGAAGTTGCGCGGCCGCGAGGCTTGTTTCCCGGCTCGCGCGCTGGTCGTGCGCGGCGTGGCGTGACGTTGGGCTTGGCCGACCGCGGGACAATGTTTCCCGGGTCGTGTTGCGTGATCGGCCGATGGTTTGGACTTTGGCCGAGACTTCAGTCGGACGGATACGGTTTTGGCCGAGCGCGGAACATTCGTTCCTCGGCCAGCCGGACTGCGCGTTGGGCGCTGATTCTCGATAGAGCCGTCTGGAGCAGTCTTCACTCTTTTGGCTATAACTCCTTTTCTACTCATCCAAATGAGGCCATTCCAGTTGCGTTGGAAAGTTAACTCAATCAGAGCACGCAGGGAACTGGTCTTGATGAAATCCATTGAGTAGATCTTTTTCTGGGCCCTCTTAAAGTTGATGCTTGGCATGAGCTGGTTGAAGTCCAAATCCTGTTTTGCTCCAAAATGCATCATTTCACCTGTTTAGACTCTAGACACTATAAATCCATAAAAACTACCTTTTTAGATACAAGAATCCAAAAAACCATTAGAAAACAATAGTAAAATAGTATAAAAAGTAGGTAAAATAGAGGTATATCAACTCCCCCAGACTTAGATCTTTGCTTGTCCCCAAGCAAAAAGAATCTAAACTAGTGAAAGAGGTTTGAAAACGTGGAACTCCCTTGCTCTTTGAATATCCTGTGAAAGGTTCCTTTCCTGTATTCCACTAAGAACATAGACAACATAAGGTTAGCTTCACATACACCCTGCAAGTTTAGCGAACAATACCAACCCAACTAGTCTCATCCAGCAATCCAAACTCTCTATTGCTAACCTCTTGCATAAATTTAAAGCGTGAGTTCTTTATCAAGGGAATCGATCAATTGAACTTGTTCTTACCCACTTGATCTTCTCCAAGATTGTCTTTGAAGTGCAATGAGTTCTTTTCCTCTCTCTTTCTCACATCAGAACTTTGAAAGGTCAATTTCTCCCTACTTTTCTAGGGTATCATTTTATTTTTTCTATTGACCCTTCTTTCAACCACAGGATAAGTCTTTAGCTTGTTCCTTGTTTGACTAAGGTATTCCATAAGACATGAAGGTACAGACATATGCATTCCTCATGCTTACTTGTTTTCCTTGTGCTCTTTGAGCTTTTTCTCATAAACATTACTTACCATTTGGGATGGGAGAGAGAGGAGAACTCTTTAGACAAATCTCATTGAAAATCAAGCAAGGAACTGTCGACATGTATGCCAATCCCCTTGACAAGAGTTATTAAGATTGATTAAGGGTGAGGTTAACTCTAGATTGCTTGGTTACCTTAGAAATTTCGCTGAGCTAGCATGTCGATCCACTGTAAGAGCTTCTGTTAGGCTTGTGCCTTTAGCTGATTTTGCTCTAGGGTCATGATTGTTAGCATACACTATCAATCTCAAAGCAAGTTCATAACTTCCGGACTGGTTTTGACTCAATAAAACAGAAGTTTTGAAAAAGTGAAAAAAAATATAAGATCAAAAAAATGAAAAACACATTAGTACACAATCCCCCCAGACTTAACTTGCACCGTCCCGGTGAAAGAAAATCCAATTAAGGGAGTTAAAGAAAGAGGTAATAAAGTGGTTGTGAATGTAAAAAGAAAGATGTAACCTGATTTGTGTTACTTGAAGAATGGTGAATGCAGTGGAATGATGGTAGTGATGGAATGCAAGTGTGGTGAGGTGGGATGGGTGAGATGCAGATGGAATGAGATGGGATGGTGTGTTGGGCGGCTTGAGAGGACATGGGCGAGCGTGGAGAGGTTCTGCTCGGCCATCTAAGTCGCGCCAACTATGAACATTCTTCTTGTGGTATATCTTCTTTACCATTGTGTGGTTCTTAGATTCCTGTTTCCAAAACTCAAAACAAAACTAGACATTAACTAAAACTAATTGAAAAGAAAAGTAAAGAAAAACACCTTTCATGGGTTGCCTCCCATGCAGCGCTTCTTTTGAGTCATTAGCTTGACTGATAGGATCTCTTAGTTGGAGATGGGGTAAGGGCACGGCCTGAGACATAGTCTTTTAGTTCTTGTCTCATTGTGACCTTGAGTGTGGTCTGGTGGCTCTCTTGGGCGGCCTTGGGCAGTGATGAGGTAAGACAGCTTGTTTGGTGCGATGAATGGTATGGTCTTGTAAAAGACTGTCTTGTCACATTGGCTAAGGACATTCGCCGGTTTGGAAGGTCCATGACAGCTCCAGCAGTGGCCAAAAAGGGTCGGCCTAGTATCAATGGTGTGTCACATCCTCCTTGAATGTTTATGACATGAAAGTCCACCGGGATCTTGATATCTCCAATCTCTAGAAGAACATCAACAACAACTCCTCTTGGCTTGGCTATAGTATGGTTAGCAAGTCCAATACTAATTTGAGCAGGTTGCAAGCGTGTGATGCCAAGGAGTTTGGCGGTTTGGGTTGGCATGAGGTTTATGCAAGAGCCAGAATCGCATAGTGTTCTATCAAAGTAATGACCATTTACTTGACAGGGAATAGAGAATTGACCTGGGTCTTCAATCTTGTAGAGGGTCTTGAAGGTAGGCTGAACTTTAGCTTTCTCAAAAAGCTCTTTTATGTCCTCAGGTGTCTCCTTGCAGTTGTGGAAGAAAGGTGGTGAATGGGTAGTGGCGCCAAGCTTCTTTGAAAGACATGCTGGCTGGAAGAGTTTGGACAAACTGATTGAACTCAGCAAGCTTCTCTCTTGATATGGAATTGACATACCACTGGGTGGTGGTGATGATGGTGGTGATGGTGGTTGATTGACTCCATGAGGGGCAATGGGAAATCGAGCCTTCCTGAAAGTTGGTGTATCTCTTCTTTGTTTTCACTAGTTGTGAAAAAGAACTCCACTAGACCATGTTTATCCCAAGCTTCTTCAAAAGTGACATAGAATGGAAGTGATTTCACCTTAGCATTGAACTCTTTAAGCTTCATGGGGCTTATCTTGTTGGGATCAATGGGATCATACTGCCAAGTATCTTCTTCTTCAGTAGGTGGTGATGGTCTTTGCATTGCTTCCAGTCTTGGAAGTGTAGAAGCTTGACTTCTTGGTGAGAAACGAGGGTCTCTAGGGCTTGGTGTATCCATGCTCTGTTTTGGGGAAGCATTGATGTCGATGCTCTGCTCTTCATCTTCATCATTCAATTGTTCCTCATACTCTCTTTCTTCTTCTTCATTGTCCTCATGGACTTGAGTAGTGCTTCTTCTTGTGATGGCATTGCAATAAAAGGGAGGGTGGTTGGGTGTTGGACTCCTCTCTCTCTTGTAATTGGCATGAGATGATCCTTCAAGGGCTTGTAGGCGGTTGTAGATTGATCCAAGATGTTTGCTATTGCCATAGCTAGTATCTTCAATTCTCATGCTCTTGTTCAGCAACTCTTGATATTTGGAAGCAACATCAAGCTTAACTAGGGTCAAAGATCGATCATGATCCTCTCTTAACTTCTTAATGTCTTCATCAAGCTTGATCACTTGCTTGAATAGGACTTCAGATTTGTTTCCAAGGCTCTCATGGATGAAATCGATTCTTCTCTCCATCTTCTTTGTACTCTCTTCTTGATTTCTCAAGTACTCTTGAAGCATCTCTTCAATCTTGGTTTGGCGCGCAGCTTGGTAGCTCTCCCTTGGGAAAAGTGGTGTCTTGTTTATGTCTGGTGATGATGGATGGTGATTGTGAATAGCTTGGGCGTGGTGGTGGGACATAAATAGGACCTTTGCAAATCTGTGAGGAAAGCTCCTTTGTATCCATTCCAAGTCTTGAAAGCATGTTGGGCATTGAACTTAGCCCAGTCTTTGGCTTGTCCAGCTAGAGATAGTTGGAAAAGTTGTATCTTCTTGGGGTTGTCTCCAAGTCCATAGTCGTGGCAAAGCTGCTCAAAGTTGCATAGATGCTCCTTTGCACACTCTGAAGTAGAATTGTAGAAAGGATTCCTCTCCACATGCTTGATTAGCTCTTCATTCAAAACTTCAGGATGGGTGGTATGCCTCCCCATTCTTCTTCATCACGCTCTCTCTCCAGCTGATGAGAGTAGTGGTGGTACTTGGATTTGAAAGGTGGCTTCTTGCAAATCTCTTCAAGAAAGCTTCTCTAAAATCGATCCATGACTCGATTGTAGAGGTGGCTCATGCTGCGCCCAATCTAGTGCTGGTCCAGCTAGTGATGTGCTGAATAGCATCATCTTCTTCTCAAAGTCAAAAACTCCATAGGAATCACAAAGATTGTCAAAGTGATCTATGTGCTCCAGCGCATACTCTGAAAACAGATCATGGAATTGATCTCTCTTCACGAACTCGATCAGCTCAGGGTTAATCTCCTCTTCTGGTGTGGCTAGAAGGTGTCTTCTTGGTGTGATGCGGCTTGGCTAGACGTCTCCAGGTCGGCTGCTTCAAGGTAAGGAAGAAGTTTCTTCTTTGTCTTCAAAGGGATGGTCTTGGAGGACTATCCCATGAAGGTGGTGGTGCTTGAGGGCTTGACATCTCTTGTTCGCTCAAGAGGTGCTTTGAGGTGGTATGTGGCGAATTGGCATCGCCTTTATAGGGGAAGAGGCTTGTGGCTCCTTCTCCATATCTAACTAGGAAAACCTGAAAAGCTAAAAACAAAAAGGAAAAACCAAAAAAGGAAAACAAAATCAAAGAAAAGGAAAAATAACAAAACTAAAAAGGAAAAGTGAAAACCCTAGACTAGCTCTCTTGCAAGAGCTTGTAGGTGCGAATTGGTCCCCGGCAACGGCGCCAAAAACTTGATCGCGGGATCAGGTCTTCCCCTTTCCTATCCCTGATTCTGCAAGTGCACAGGTCAGAAGTAGTAAACGGGTATCGAACACAAGGACCAGATTGCACACTACAAGTTATGAGTTTGAGAACAAGCTAGGGCAAAAGTATAAGTTGGTTGAGTGCAGAGAAAGTAAAGCATGCAAGTAATAAAAAGTAAGAATTCAATAGGAGAGAAAGGCTAAGCAATAGGATAGTCTTGAGATAAGCAATTCAAGAAGCATGAAATCAATCAATTAGGGTTACCGCACTTAGGTGCTAATCTAGAACTTGAAACACTATGGTATGATCATTCCACTGTCGAGGCTCCGACCCCTTTGTTAATCTACCTAGTCGCTAAACTTTTGGTATGTCCCTAGGTGATTAAATCAAGCATTAGTTCGATCAAGATCAATTGTTCACAACCTACAAGTAGATCAACTGTCGCAGTCTAAAAGAGATTGCCCACCAAATACTAGTTCAGGCGAATGATACAGCACTGTCGAGGCTCAAATCAACCTAAAGGCATATGCTAATTGGCCAGATTAACAACAAGCATTAAGTATAAGCAAAGATGGAGATTATAAGTAAAACCCTAATTGTGATCAATCATCAAGCATACATGAATGCTATCCTTTGACTTCCTATCACTTAACAAGTAAACTACTCAGACATAGAGAAGGAAACGAATTCATATTCATAAGAACAGAGATTCGAATCCTCTCTAGAAAGAGTAACAAGCAAGAACAAAGTAAAAGCAAGCAAAACTTTATTAAGATGTAAAATAGATTGTGGTCTCTCTCCTTCTTGAGTTACAAGGCTAAAAAGAAGTATTTATAATGCTCTAAGTATGAAAGGCGGCTAAACCTAATCTAGCTAGGTCGGCGCCGGCTTTGGGCTTGAATTGTGCGGATTGGGCTTCAAAAACGGCTTCGGGTCGACCGCGGCGTTCGGACGGTCGGTCGGGACGATCGGCCGGACAGTCGGGTCTTGGCCGAGTCGGAACGGTCGGGCCGGATGTTTCATGGTCGGCCGGCTTGGTCGGCGGATGATTTGGCCGATGGTTTCTCGGCCGGACGTGGGACGTTCTTTCCCGGCTCGGACGGATGCATCGGCCGTGGTACGGAACGGGTTGCGCGGCCGCGAGGCTTGTTTCCCGGCTCGCGCGCTGGTCGTGCGCGGCGTGGCGTGACGTTGGGCTTGGCCGACCGCGGGACAATGTTTCCCGGGTCGTGTTGCGTGATCGGCCGATGGTTTGACTTTGGCCGAGACTCAGTCGGACGGAATACGGTTTTGGCCGAGCGCGGAACATTCGTTCCTCGGCCAGCCGGACTGCGCGTTCGGCGCTGATTCTCGATATGGCCGTCTGGAGCAGCCTTCACTCTTTTGGCTATAACTCCTTTTCTACTCATCCAAATGAAGCCATTCCAGTTGCGTTGGAAAGTTAACTCAATCAGAGCACGCAGGGAACTGGTCTTGATGAAATCCATTGAGTAGATCTTTTTCTAGCTCCATCCAAAGTTGATGCAGGGGCATTGAACTGGTTTAGAGTCCAAATCTCCTGTTTTGCTCCATAATGCACCTTTTTACCTAAAATGACTCTTTGCACTATAAATCCATAAAAACTACCTTTTAACACAAGAATCCACTAGAAAACCATTAGAAAACCATAGTAAAATAGCATAAAAAGTAGGTAAAATAGAGGTATATCAAGAGGGAAGCGCCTTTATGAAAAGATCAGCTGCGTTGTCACTTGAGCGAACTTAATGAATATCCACTTCTTGATTTTTCTCGAGTTCTTGAGTGTAGGAGAAAAATCTTGGAGGGATGTGTTTTGTCCTGTCGCTCTTAATATAACCTTCTTTGAGTTGAGTGACACATGCTGAATTGTCTTCGTAGATGGTTGTTGGCTCTTTCTTTGTAGATACTCCGCTGGCTTCTTGTATATGTTGGATCAAAGATCTCAACCATACACACTCTCTGCATGCTTCATGAAGTGCAATGATCTCCGCATAATTTGAAGACGTTGCAACCAAAGTTTGTTTTTGGGAACGCCAAGAGATCGCGGTTCCACCGTATGTGAAAACATAACCGGTTTGCGATCGAGCTTTATGCGGATCAGACAAGTAGCCAGCATCTGCAAAACCAACTAAACCAACCTCGGGGTTTCTTGAATAATATAATCCAAACTCAATCGTACCTTGAAGATAACGGAATATATGTTTTATTCCGTTCCAATGTCTTCTGGTAGGCGATGAGCTGTATCTTGCAAGGAGATTAGTAGCAAAAGCTATATCTGGTCTAGTGCAATTTGCAAGATACATAAGTACTGATGTACTTGCATTTTACATAGTTTTAGCACATCTTTTATGCATCTTTTGCATAGTTTTAGCTTCCATTTGCATCATATCTTGTTCCTTTTCTCTTCTTATGCATTCATGTTAGTTTTAGGTTGCATTTGCATACATATGCATGTTTGGTCCTTTGAAATAGGTCTTTTGGAGCATTCTGGAGCATATGGGACAAAGGAGCATGGAGGGACTTGGCACATGGAAGCAGCTCAACTGGATACGCAAAGGAAGAAGGGAGAAGCCATCTTGAAGACCAGCTCGACCGTCCACTCGACCAACCGGTCGAGTTCCTCAACTCGACCGGCCAAGCTTCAACTCGATCGAGCTGAGAAGTCAAAGTCAAACCCGAAAAATGTTGCTTCCCCCTTGACTTTCCTTTGACCCTAAACCTAATCCTCTTGTATTTAAAGGCTCTAAGCCACGAAAAAACCACCAAGCTTTAGATTATTTTGTTTTAGTTTCTTTTAATTTATTGTCTTTTACTTTTTAGAGACTAATCCCATCTTTGTGTTCTTGAAGCTCTTGCTTCTTGAATCTTAGATCCTGGATAATCTTCTTTGTATTTGCACTTGCTTATTTCAATAAAAGTTGTTTAATTTCATCTCCTCTTTCTTATGATGTCTCTTTTATTGCATTTGCTTGTGTTTACATTCATGTGTAGTGAGTAGTTACCCATTAGGGTTTGAGATGGGATAGATTAGAGGTTTCATATGCTTAATCCTTCTAGCTTATGGTCTTAATCTAGATTCTCTCTCTTTTGGATAGATCTTAAGGCTACATGACCACTACCCCTGGCTTGTAAGTCCTTAGGCGACTCCCCACACGAAAGTGATGGCATTCGCTGGAAAAGATCCACTAAGAGCTCCAATATCTCTTGCTCTAGACAATAGAGGTCTAAGGGGTTGGATGGATTAGTTTGGGCAATGATCCTATAGCCTCCAAGGTTTGATTCTCACTGGCTAACCCCCTGTTTCTGAGATCATTCCTTGGTTGATAGCCTCCACCTTGGGAAAGGGTTGGCTAGGCATTGAGAAGCCCAATATCAAGAGAAGCCTTGATACAAGGAGTTTTAAGAGCTAGATTGATTAAGTGTAGATTCCTTTGATTGCAAAACCCTGTCTTGAACCCTAATTCTCTCTTTATCTTGTTAAAGTCGTCACCTTTAGCTTTGTTTGTCTCAACTCGTCCCTAAACTCGATCGAGCTGGTACTTTGCTCTACTCGACTCGAGCTCTTGGTCGAGCTGACACTTCACTGCTTTGTTTACTTTTATTGCACTGCTTTTCATTTTTAGGTTGTTAGTGTTACTTCAAATCTTTAACTGCTTGCTTGACTTTCTGGTTGTTTCATATTCTCATAGAGTGACAAGTTTCCCATTTTGGATTGATAACCCTTTGTACTACATCAACTATGATGGTTAAAGGGAATTGTTGACTGTGTTTGTGTTTGCATCTTACCACCATCATATACCACTGATTGCATTCCACTCATCTCATTTCATTCTTTTCACATCCACACACAAATCCTATCATCAATTTGGCGCCGTTGCCGATTTGGGAATATTTTTGTTGCATTTGAGTTTCAAACACACTTGGACGATCAAGCTATACCACCCCTGTTCTATTGTACTGCTGGGTTTTTGTCTCTTTTTGCAGGTGTATGCGAACTCGATCGAGTCGGTCAACTGAAGACTTGGTCGAGCTAGACTTACAACGGGTAGAAAGAGGGTTCAGAGGTCACAGAGGGTACAAGAGGAACCTGAGGTGCTTGTTGCTGATACAATGGATGTACCAGAGGGGAATGGAAACCCTTTGGGCAATGGACTCGGTCGAGCTAGGCAAACTCGACCGATTGGTCAAGGAGATGCTCCAAACCGCCACCAACAGAGACAAGGGATTGTTCCACCACCAGTGCAGAACCACAACTTTGAGATCAAGCTGGGAATGATCAACCTTGTCCAGAACAAGATGTTCCATGGATTGCCAAGTGAAGACCCCATTGACCACCTTGATGAGTTTGATAGGCTTTGTGATTTGACAAAGATCAATGGTGTCTCTGAAGATGCCATCAAGCTGAGACTCTTTCCTATGTCTCTAGCTGACAAAGCTCACCAATGGGAGAAGAGCTTGCCCCATGGCACAATCACCACTTGGGATGAATGCAAGAAGGCCTTTCTTGCTAAGTTTTTCTCCACCGGTCGCACAGCCAAGCTTAGAGGAGAGATATCCAGCTTCATCCAGCGAAACAATGAGACATTCGCAGAGGCTTGGGAGAGGTTCAAAGGCTACACAAGTCAGTGCCCACACCATGGATTCAACAATGAATCACTACTCTCCACTCTTTATAGAGGATGCTTGCCTAGGTATAGGGAGATGCTAGACACAGCTAGCAATGGGAACTTCCTCAACCAGGATGTAGATGATGGCTGGCAACTTGTGGAGAACATAGCTAACTCAAATGGAAGCTATGGAGAAGAGTATGATCGCACCAACCGGAGCTCGACCCACCACTCGATCGAGTCAGACGAAAAGTTGAGAAAAGATGTTAAGGCATTGAATGAGAAGTTGGATAAGCTGATCCTAGCTCAGTCCACAATGAAGAAAGTCAACTTTGTGTCTGCTGAGGAGATGGAACCAGTCCAAGAAGGGGAGGATACACAATTTGCTGAGGTGTGCTACATGAGCAATGGGCAAGGAGGTTACAACAAAGGATACTATAATTACAAGTCCAACCCTGCCATGTCATACCGCAACACTGATGTTGCTAACCCTCAGGACCAAGTATATCCTCAACAACAAGCAGCTCGATCGAGTCAAGGCCACAACATGGGTATGGTCAAAAGAACAATTACCAAGGACCACAAGGCACTTTCCCTGGACAACAAATGAATATCCCACCAGGCTTCCCCCACCAACCGCCCCAGCCTGCACCTTCACAAGAGAATGAGCTCAAGGCAATGCTAAAGCAACTACTTCAAGGGCAAGCTGATGGGGTAGTGGACACAAGCAAGAAGCTAGCTGAAATAAACTCTAAGATCGAGAACCTCAACACAAGGGTTTACTCTCTGGAGAATCATGCTTCTTCTGTTGCTGCTGCTACAAAGCAAGGACAACTACCTGGTAAAGCTATTCAGAACCCCAAGGAACAGTGCAAGGTCATCTTCACTCAAGAAGGACTTGTTGAAGAAGAGGATCAAGAAAGGGTCATTGAAGATTTTTGTTTACTGCTGAATGATGAAGAGATTGTTGCTGCTGAGGCTCCTGGAGTCCAGATTGATCAACCAGAAGTGCATGCACCTACTGTGGCCATTCACACTTCACCAGTTGAGCTCGCACGACAAGCTCGATCGGCAGCTCGATCGAGTCCAACTCTAGCTCGATCGAGTCCGACCTCTTCTGTCCGACAGCCTGTTTTGCTTGATCCTTATCAACCGGTTGCCGCTTCCTCGTCTCGCCTACTTAGTCAAGGTCACAAGGAAGTGATTCACAAGTTCAGAAGAGATCTCAGTGGGATTGGAATTGAGTTGCCTCTATGGATAGCATGAGTGAGGCATTTGATCAAATGCAAATGGTCAAGGATGTTCTAGCCAACAGTGATAAAGTTTCAGAGGTCCTACAAGAGTCTACTCATCAGTTCAACCTGCTTACTTCACCCACTTTCCTACCAAAGGTCAAGGATCAAGGGAAATTCACTCTCCCTTGCACACTTGGGCATCTTGAGATTGACAATGCCTTAGTGGATTCTGGAGCAAGCATCAATCTGATCTCTCTCTCCATGGCAGAGAAGCTAGGCATTGCTGGAGCCTTGCAGCGCCCTACTACTTCAATCATGTTTGGAGATGCAACTTCTAAGTCTCCTCTTGGAGTGTTCAAGAACTATCACTTGAAAATTGGAGAATGCATCATCCAAACTGATCTCACTGTGATGGAAATGGAAGAAGAGAAGGATTTACCTCTGTTATTGGGAACCCCTTTCCTTAGTACAGTTGGCGCTTCAATAGACTTTCACAAGCAAGAAGTGATCCTTCACAAGGTGAATAGTTTGGTGTCATATCGCTTGCAGCCTAGAGGTTCAGACTTTTGTGCCACAATTGACAGTACCAATCTCAGTTCTAAGAGTCATGGAGCTACAAAGGTTGTGAAGGAAAGGGTTGACAAGGAACCAAGAGTTGGGAAGGATAAGGTTGAGAGAGGACCAAGGATTGAGAAGCCACGTCTTGAGAGGGCTAGAGTTGAGAAACCACGATCTGATAGGCCACGAGCTGAGACTTGTTCAAGCCCCTTGTGTGCTTGATGAAGAGAGCCTTCAAGCTTTGTTTGATGAGCCACTAGGAAGGGCTCTAAAAGAAGGGGAGGATGTAGCCTCTAAGGCAAGACCAGGGATAAAAGAAAGGATCCACCAGCTCAGGCCCCTTCAGTCAAGCCATCTCAGCTCACAATGACCTTGTTCCCCACCAAGTTTGAAAATGGGAAGATTGAGTACAAGATAAGGTACAAGGGGAGATCAAGGCCATTCTCTAGAGCCAAGGCCTTGGTGACTTCAGAACAGTCCAGGGACCCAACCAAGCTAAAGGAGCTTCTGTCTCAAGTCCTCACTATCACCCTTGATGGTGGGACTAGCTCAACCAATGCCTAAGAAGGTAAAGGTCAAGCTATGGGACCTTAAACAAGCTCACTTGGGAGGAAGTCCCATGTTTATCCTTGTACATATTCTATTTATGCAATTTCTATCTATTTTGTGTCTTTAACCTTTCAATAAGTTAAGTTTAGGTGACAAAGGAGCCAGCTCGACCGACAGCTCGATCGAGCTAGAAACCAGGGCAACTCGATCGAGTTCCACAACTCGACCAAGGTAAGTTTTTGAATTTCAAATTCTAACCGTTTTCTTGGTCAAGGGAGTGGGTCCCACAAGTAATTTTGGTCCCCCACTTCCTGAAATTGATCAGAAAACCCTAGCTTTTGTCCCCTCTTTATTCACCTTTTAATCTCAACCACACATCTCAAACACTCCCTCTTCCCCATAACTCGATCGAACCCATCTCTCTCTCCCACACTCATATTTTTCTGCAACATCTATCTCTCTCTCTCTCATCACTACAAGAAATCCGAATTTCAAGCTTTCTCTCTCAAGTTTTTGCGATTTCTATTGTTGCTCTTCTTGTTTTGCTTAGTTCTAGCTACTGTGATTCTTCAATCATCATTCAAGCAAGGTATAAACCCTAACCCTCTGAATCCTTCATCTCGTTTCCTCTATATTGCTTGTTTCCTCTTGTTTTTGATTGCATGTGTCCCTTGAGGACTTGTCCTTGAGTAATTGCTTTCTTATGCTTCATATTTGTATAATCTTGTGAATTTGCCTCACCTCACCTCTGTTTTGCCATTGAATTTGTTGCATGTATCTAAAATCCCTTGAATTGGAGGTTGGCATTGGTTAAGGTGCTTTAGTTTTCACTAGAACTGCTCATTGTTCCATTTACTTGGTGTTCTTGGTTCAATTTGATTGTTAGGCATCTTTTCCAGCTCGTGTATTTTGTTATAGGTTCGGTTATACTCTGTTTTCATTCAGCTCGATCGAGTTTGTCACTCGAGTTTTTTGACTCGATCGAGTTGAGTGTCGAGTCGGCCGAACCAACGATTGCAACTCTAATTCCTTGAGTTTTTGATCCATTTCAGGAACCCAACTTCAAGAAGCAACAAGTTCAAGATGTTGAGAGGTGAGGGAAGCCAAGCAGCTGTAGCAAGAAAGCAAAAGGCAGAGAAGGCAAGGAGAATGAGAGAAAGGATGTCCATAGATGAAGGTTTGGAGTATGTGAGATCGAGGGAAGAGAGGAACCAGCAGACGGCAGAATCTGAGGCAGGGGATCATGTCTCCTCTGAAGAGCAGTCTGAAAGTGAGAGGTTGAGGGAAGAAAGGAGAACCAAGAAGAGGAATGATCCCATAAGTAGTGAAAGTGAACAAGGGATTTCGAGATTGGGGTCAACCTTGTTCAAGAAGGGAGTTATGGCTCTCAAATTCAAGGAGGAAGTGATGAGACTGAGAGCGAAGAAGAAGGAGAGGAGGTGAACCGATTGGTTGATGAGAGTGATCAAGAGGGTAACCAAGATGAGCCCATGGAGGAGGCTGAGACACAAGAGGAGGAAGAAGAAATTCCTATGTACCAAGAGCACTACAACGCTCTCTTCTCCATGGACTTTGTGGAGACCAAGTACCCACATGATGACACCATGAGGGACCTTGGGATCTTTGAGGATGTGGAGTTGGTACTCAAGAACATGCAACTGGGGAAGTTTTTCTCTCATCGCATGGAGTCTTACAAGGAGCTGACTTGTGAGTTTTTGGCATCAATGAGGTATCACCAATTTGATGAGATCGATCGAGCTGATGTGGACCAAGGCTGGGGGTACATAAATTTCTTGGCAAGGGGAGAGAAGAAGATGGTGACCTTTAGGCAGCTTGAGATACTGTTTGGGTTCAATATGGAGAAGAAAATCTGTGGAACATCAAGGAAAATGAGCTCCAAGGAGTTTGGGCTACAATCGCTGATGGAGTGTACTCTTCTTCAAGGTCTAAGGCTGCTCAAATCAGGAGTCCTGTGCTGAGATATGTCCACAAGGCACTTGCCAACACCTTCTTTGCAAGAAAAGCCACTGGTACAATCAAT